AATACAAGTGATTGGTTATTTTAACATAGTTTTACAGGTCATTGGTGGGTTCATACTTTGGTTTTCTGGCGGGAGTGTGGATGACTGATGTAATTTTCCAGGAACTGGGGCCCGCCTTTTTACTGGTCTTAATGGTGGCCTCTCTTTGTCATGTTGAAACATTAAATTTTAATTCCACACTATGAGTTGGAATTGACTTGCTGGCAATGAGTTTGGTTTGGGTTTAGTAAGTGTTGAATGAATGGAGGAATCAGTGGAAGACTAACTTGGAGTAAAATACTACTCCAGGATATGATGTCACTGCCTACTTGCTGGAGGTAGGCACCCAGGTTCCTTTCACTCTGGAGCACTCCCACCCAAGTTCCCTCTCAAAGTGACACTCACAACATTCATAAGCTATACCCCTGCTCTGCAAGCCCAGTCTACTAGGATGGTAATTCCTAGTGACAGTACAGGATGGTAGCTCCTCGTGGTGATAGAGGGAAAACTTACCATTCTTTGTGTTCCAGGGAGACAGAATTGCCTAATGGCTGAGAAAGTGTACAACTATTTAGCATATTCTTTAGTTATTTGAATAATGATGATGATAGCATTGAACACCTACATTGGACTAGACCCTGTAACGTTGTTGTTGTTATTTGCCGTGGAGTCAGCCCCAACTCATAGCAATCCCTCCTTGGGTTTCCAAGGCAGTATCACTACAGAAGTAGGATTGCCCAACCTTCCTTCTGAGGAGTGGCTGGTGAGTTTGAACCTCCAGCCTTCTGGTTAGCAGTCAAGTGCCTTAGGCACTATGCTGCCAGAGACCCTGTAATAAGACCTCTCAATATATTAGTTTATTTACTCACAAGTCTAAGAAGTCAGAAATACTATTATTTCCATTTAAAAGCAAGTAAACTGTGGTACAAGTAGTTTAAACAGTTTTTCCGTGATCATACAGCCAGTTAAATGGTAGAGTTGAGATTTGAACCCAAATCTAGCTGACTTTAAAGTTAACATTCTCTACCACCACATTTTCCTTTAGAAGCATGAGAAAATGATTGAAATGATATGGAAATAAATTATATACAATTATATGCATATTATGCACACGCACACACACACACGTATGCTGCTTAGGAGCAAGAATGGCTACACTTCATCTCTGTTACTTTGGTCATGTTGTCAGAAGGGACCAGTCCCTGGAAAAGAATATCATGCTTGATAAAGTAGAGGGTCAGTGAAAAAGGGGAAGGCCCTCAATGAGATGAACTGACACAGTGGCTGCAATGATGGGCTTAAACATAGCAAGGATTGTGAGGATGGGGACCAGGCAGTGTTTCATTCTGTTGTACATGGGGTCACTGAGTCAGAATCTACATGACAGCACCAAACAACAACAACAAATATATATATATATATATATATATATACATACATATATGTTGTTGTTATGTGCTGCTGAGTTGGACCTGACTCATAGCAACCCCTCTTTGGGTTTCCAAGGCAATATCACTACTGAAGTAGATTGCCCCATCTTTCCTCTGATGAGTGGCTGGTGGGTTTGAACCGCCAGCCTTCTGGTTAGCGCACACACACACACACACACACACACAAAGATTCTAATTCTTAATAATAATAAAAAGGAAAAAACAAGAAAATCCTAAAGTTCAGAAGAAATGACCAAGGACCAGACCAATGTGTCAGCAGTGGTTGCTTTCAGATAAGTGAGAACTGGGTTTTTTTTTTTTTCTTTTGTCTTCTATCTTTTACATTTTTCTAGATTCCCTTTAATAGGCATGTACTATTTTTATAATTAAAAATAAATCCCTCTCTTTTTAATGGCCCCAGCATCAAGAGGCAGAACAGAGGCTGGGAAGGGCTGATTTGAGTACCCAGCTAATCAGTGAGGCTGTCTCGAGTAGCTATCACTGATCAGCAAAAGGGGGCAATCAGCAGGCAGCAGCTGTGACCTCAGCACCTGCACCCCCATGGGGCAAAGGAGGAGAAGTGGGTCACTGTTCCTGCTGTCTTATTGTCTCCCCTTTTCCTCCAGGTGCTTATACACCAGAACCCCTCAGCAGCTTCCGATGGGCCCTTCTCTCAACTGGCCTCATGTTCTTTTACCATTTCAGCGTCTTGCAGATCCTGGGCCTGGTAAGTTTGGTTATATCCCCTTCTGTTCCCTCTGTTGGAGGTCTCCATAAATCTTGATAATCCTGGTTGGCGCTGGTATATCATTTTGTTTGGAAAAAATACAAGATGCTAAAGGCCAGGACGTCAGATTGTTGTGTCTGGGTTGCTGATTTATGATCCACAGCCTTGACCTCTCCAAAGAGTTTTTGGAATCTTTCAGTAATGATTGTTTTCTTTTATCCCTGGGGAGGCAAGGATGCCCTTCATTCATGGCCACTTGGGTTTGAAACAGTGAGTTGCAATTGGAAAGTGGTTTGCTGTGGACCCTATGGGAAGGCAGGATCCTAACCCAGGCCCTGGGCCTGAGGAAAGATTCTGACTTTGAGTCCACTCTGGGTCTACTCCCAGGTATTGTAGCAGTCTCTGTCCTGAGCTGTGTGGCTAATAGAAGTATGGTTTTGAGGGACCCCTGTGGCATTCTGGGGTGTTCAGAACTGCCTAGAGTGTGGAGAATGGTTGGACTTAGTAGTTGAGTTATTCAAAACCCAAGATTGCTGAGCACATGGGTGTATATTGGTAACAAAGAGAGTAGGAAGAGATTGGGACTGCGGTTGGGGGTCAGGAGACTCAAGTTCAAGTCCTGACTCTGCCTCTGAGCTGCCATGAGTCACCTTGTCCTCTGAGCCAAAGAGTTCCCCACCCCTCCATGGCATGGTAAACAGCTCCAGCCTCCCTGAGAAGTGGTGAGAACATGTCTCTAATGTGAACAGGCTTGAAGGTCTTTGGAAGCCAGCACTGTGGCCGTCCTTGGGGCAGGAGTGGCATGTTGGGTTTTGTGTGCGAGCAGCATTAACATAGTATTAGCTGTGTGGAGCCTCGCGCGACCTAGCATGACTAGGGCATGTAACCGATGTCACCATTACCTTTGTAGAAGCTGTTACTTTCTTCTCCCCACCCTAGTATATTTCTCTACTCTGTGGTTTGCCGGGATGGGGAAAGTTGAGCTCCTTGCCAACTGCATGAATGCTTCCTGTGCTCTAGGCAGGAAGCAGCACGACCTTCACACCTTTGCCTCCCACTGCTCTCCACTGGGAAGCCTTTATTCCAGAAGAGACAGTGTCTTCATGTCGCCATGCATACCATGCTCAGTTCCACCTCTGGGCTTGGCTTAGGCCATGCCTCCTACAAGGAAGGCTCTGCCCATTCCATTGCTCACCATCCATCTTTCATGAGTCTGTTCAGGTGCCACTTCCCTTTTCTCTGAAGACTCCAGCCTCCATTGTGCAACTTCTTATGGTGAATAGAATCCAGTGAGCACCATCTAGTTTGAGGTCAGATTTGGTAGACTGATCACCCCAACTCGATTGATTGCCAGGTGTGTGGAGGCAGGGACCATAATGTTCTTTTCTGTTCTTACATCTCACACTTTTCCAGAGTCTAGGCACATAGTAGATGACAATAGGCTCTGGGCCCAACCAGAAGACAAGGCTACGCACAGTGAACAACCTTCGCACTGGACAGCCTTCCCTCCTTTTCCTCCAGAGGGACCTAGCTTTGACCTACCCCACAAACTTAGGGGAAAGAAATCCCTTTATGAACAGGTGGGGATTTGCCAATCCCTCCTTGTCTAGTCCTCCATTAGATAGAGATGGCTGAACTGGCGGAAGCCAGAGAAAGCCTAAGGATGGTGAACGCTCACTCTACCTCCCTTGTCCCTGCAGGTCACCGAAGTGAATTTGAACAACATGCTGTGTCCGGCCATCTCAGACCCATTCTACGGCCCCTGGTATCGCATCTGGGCCTCGGGACACCAGACTCTCATGACCATGACCCACGGGAAGCTGGTCATCCTGTTCTCATACATGGCTGGGCCCCTGTGTAAATATCTGCTGGATTGGCTCCGGCTTCCAGCCAAGAAAATAGACTGAAGGTGGTTGTTATTTTTTTTTTGTTTGTTTGTTTTTCTTTCTTTTTTTTTTCTTTTTCCTTGAGGAAGCAAGTCCTGACTTGACTTGGAGAACACTCAGTTCTTGATGAAATTATGGGAGAGGGCAGTAGGGTGTTTGGTGTATTTCTTTTCCCCACTCTCTGCCCCTTTCTCCCACTACTCTTCCTTCCCCAGCTCTTCCTCCCAGGGCTTCTCCTTGAGCCTGGGGTGTAGTGCTGGGGGCTGGGTTTTTCCTCCTTCCCTTTGACTCTTTTTCCCTGCTCCTAGTGGCCTTACATGGGGAGATGGCAGTTGGTGGCTCCCTCACTCTGCTTGTTGGTGCTTTAACAACAGCTGGTTGAAGAGAAAGGGAACAACAAGCAGTAGTTCTTTTGGCATTGAAGTAATGCGATTGGGTTGTGTTTCATTTCTACACTGCCAGAGACCTCCAGGCTTATGCTGGGGTCCCTTTTTGTCGCCAGCACAGCCCCCACCAGAAGGGGACTGAGGCCTTGTTTCTATACCAGCGGCAAGCCCAAGGCTGAGGGATTTCCCAGCTTGTGGCCAAAGTAGAACTGGGCAGAATCTTCTCACTGGTGTCCCATGACACAAAGAAAGCAGCCAACTGGCCACTCCCTCCAGGATGCTGACTGGGGTGGAAGATGGGGGCACCACCCAGCTCAAGGGCTAGATTCCATTGAGTGGGGGAGTGGAGAGCTATTGCAATGACAAATCGAAAGGGAACAGGGTTTAAATATCCTCAACCGACACTGGGCATGACCCTGTGTAAATGCTGCCTGTGAGAGCTGAGAATTGACCAATATCCCATCAGAAGTGGGCACAGAAATTTAATCAACAGAAGTGATGACCTGAGAGAACTATGTTTTGAACTATTGGCTCCATTCCAGTTTAATGTTGATAGTAGATACCATTTGAATCTTAAGTGCTCCTTAAATGATCTCTGTCTCTCTCATAAAAAAAGGCAGCTTTAGCAAAGAATGAGGTAGAGTTTCTTGTTTTGTTTTGATATCTGAGTTGGGAGAATCCTTGTGGCAGGGTCCAGTTCTGTAGGAGCGCCTGTAGATCCATCTTGTGCTTTTGCTGGCTATGTCAGCATCCTGGGTTTGGGAAGACACAGCTCCTGCCAGCGTTATTTCCCTAGAGCCAGATTTCTTCCCTGTATCCAGACTCAGTGCTGACTTGTCTAACATGGGGTGCATGAAACACTTCCTACCCTGCCACCCCCAGAGTATCTGTCTAGGCTGAATGGGAGGTGCCTAGGAAATGAGGTCCCCACTGGTAGAGATTCAAGTGCTCCTAAAGGAGGACCTTGGGGACATTACTTGAGCTAAGTCATGCATGGACCTCAAGAAGGAAGGTAGTAGCTGGGTATTTGCTGACTCCTTGGTGGCTCCTACTAAGCACAGATTTGCTTAAGAACAGGGGAGATCATTCAGTGACTTTTTCTGATGAGCTGCCCCTCTCCTCTTCCACTCCAGGCAACCCAGTTGCCCTGGGCCAGTTCCAGTATTTCAAATGTTAATGTATTAGACCTCGATTGAACTTCAGGGACTCAGTGGTCACAGTTTTAGCCAATGGGGCCACAGGAGGCAGCAGAATTCAGGAAGGTCCCTTGGAGGAAACTGAGATTCAGGGAAGCATTCACAGGGCTTCCTGTGATTAGACTGGAGGGCCAGCTCTTCCGCAGATGCCAGCTAGCGTTAAAGCTAAACTGTCCCCTGGGTGTAGGGGTACAGGTAGGGAGAACGCCGAGTGTTCTTATTCCCCATGAACTCCTCATGACTTACAACCTTCATTTTCTGCAGTCTTTGAGGACTTGGCTTAGCTTTTCTTAGGACCTCTCCGCTAGGGCAGTCCTTAAGTGGCTGGATTCCCCCTGCCCACCTTCAAACTGCTATATGTAGAAATGGCTGATGAGGAAATGTGCAAGGACTTAGTGCCCCTTGGCCTCATCACAAAAGGAAAATTGGAAGGAGGTCATGGGAGGAGCCCCAGGGGCCTGGCTTGTCCCCCAGCAGAATGTCAAGGTACTGCAGGCAGATGATACGGGCCTGAGCTGGGCAGCCTTGTGTGGGACAGATCCTTGGCTTGAAAAGGCCACAGTGGTGTAACTCTGCAGGCTCTCTCTTCCTCTGTGTCCCATTGTGGCAATCAGCCCATGCTTTGCCCACACTGGCACAGCTCTAAAGGGTTTCCTTTGCCCTGGCTGCAGCTCAGTGCCCCACTCTGGCTGACACTGGCTGCTGCTTGGAAGGAGAGAAGAAAGTGAAAGCCACGTGCCTGGCATGGCCAGAAATATATACACCTGGCAGAGGAAGAGGACAGCAAAGGGGAGAGACAGGGCTTCTGGAGGCCCAGTTGGCTCCAAAACATGTAGGCAGAATGAGCAGGCCTGGTAGATAGTAGGTATAGTGTGAGTTTGAGATGTTGCCTTAGCAGACATCTGAAGTGATCACTCTTCCCTTGGTTCAAACCCATGGAAAGAGAGGCAACCTGGTCAGACACCCTGCTTTGGGAAGTGGCTCCTATACCCTCCTGACCACCAGCCTGCAGCTCTTGCAGCTTTGGTCTGGGAGGGAAGTTGACACTGCAGTTGCCATGCCTGGTGGCCAGTGGGCCCTGGCTTACCAGTTCCTCTCTAGGGCTTTCCTGCCAATGCCAAGGTGGCTCCCTGCCACCCTGGCCAAGTTTCCATTTGCCAGCATATGATAGCTATGTGTGTGTTTGTGACCATACTCGTAGAGTTGGAATTCTTCTGCAAAAATAGCACCAGAGAGGACAAAGAGGCTCACTCAAGCCCCTAGGTAGCCTTGGCCAAGGATCTGGACCAATGAGAACAATCTGTTCAGCTGGCCAACTTGTGACATAAACTCTGAATAGCAGAGTGGTTGTCACACCTACTTTACAGTGCCCCTCTCCCACATCCCCCCAGTATTTGGTTTTGTGCACCAAAGATGATCTGGCCCATTCTTCTCCCAGAGGGGGAGTGACATGTTCCTCTGGTAGCCTGCAAGGGCACCACCTTGGTTCTGAGGCCACAGGCTCAATCTCCCTGAGCCAACATTCTTTCTTTCCCTTGGACTTCTTAGCCTTCACAGAAGCTGCTTGCAAGGTCGTCGGGATAACTGTGGCGATCGGTGCACTTTATTGTAAAGTACCTCAGCCTAGCTGTCCACCCACCCCTTTTGCTGTCGCCTACATCAGGGTTTTGATACTTGTGATCATTGATAATTCATTGTTTTGTGCAGTGGGCACAGTTACTTCCCCACAGTCGTCAGCAGGTCTCTGTGCATTGGTATGCATGCTGGGCAGTACCCCAGGGGTGACCTAGGGGGCTCAGAAGGGCCCTCCTCCACCTCCCTCTGCCAAAATGCCTTCTCTGGATATGTAGATGCTGTTACAGAGGCATCTGTCCTCTTTGGAAGAGGGTTTGCTTATTGGTTTCTACTGAAGGGGAGGTGAGGGAGGTGAAGAGAAAGGCCTTTTGTGACACTGTAGACAATGTAGACACTGGGACTGGTTTTGGGCAATCCAGAGCAGACAGAAAGAGGGTTTGCTGCAGGCTTTGCAGGCTCCTTTGCAAGACCCCAAGCTGGAAAGGGGCCTCCCACATCATATGCCCTGCCCTCTCTGAGGTGGATAAGAGGTAGTGTGCGGCAGCAAGCATGTCTCCTGTATGTGTAGAGTGAGCCTGTATGTGCTCAGGAAAACCTAGTCACTTGTTATTACTTGTCTGTGACATTTTTGTAACACTGGTTTGCTACTTGTGGCGTAAAACATACAACCAACCAACCACAAAAACTAACAAAACAACAACAAAAACAATCGTTTCAAGAAAAGCTATTGTTTTGTAAACTCTTGTTTTCTTTTGGTGTCAATTTTGTGTTATATTTGAAAGAATTCTTCATATATATTGGTGTTATTGTGGTGAAGAGAATAAGATAGGCTGCTCTGTAGTTATTTCTGCCAGAAAATCGACAATGCCACTGCCCCTCTTAACCTCCTCCCCACCCTTCCTCGTTCCCAAGCTGGCATTGCTTTGCACTGGGTGGACTCCCCCTCCCCCCACCCCAATACAGGCACTCCCTTTAGAACCAGTTTATGCGTCTCCCTCAACAGCAGGGTAGGCATTTTGGCAGGCTGGTTCTTGGGTGTTCTGTGCCCCCACATGTTTGCTCACCTCTTGGGCCATTTTGTAATGCATTTTCTCTGATTGTAAAATCTTTTAATTGTACTGAAATGGTTTCCAGAATCACCTTGGGAAATAAATGATCATTCATTTGTGTACTTAGTGTGCTGAATTTTAGCCTCAGGTGTTTCTGTTGTTGAAGATCTCCAATGAGAAGGAACCCACACCATGGGATTTACTGTTACCATGTTTTCTTCATTTACTGTCATTAAAAGATTCATGAAAAGCTGGAAGTCTTGGCCTTGCTTCGCAGACCCTTTCCCAAAGGCCCTCTGCTTTGAATAGTAGATACAGGGGGCTGTTGGCCCTCTACTCTTGCCGGGCCCTCTTAGCACAGCCTTTGCGATGGGGAGCCATGGACTCATGAATGAGCCGTGAATGCCCATGCACTGCCTACTTCCACTGCTGCTGCCAAGGACCCAGGAGGCCCTTTGCACTTAGCAGGACTTGTCTGCTAGGTGCTCTAGGTGCCACCGTGGGCTGGCTCAAGCTGGTTTACTGAACCAGAGAAGATGACTCTGAAAGCCAATATGTTCAGGCCCATTGGACCACTCTGTCCAGCACAGTACAGCACAGGTCTGTGCCCAGCACAGGTCACAATGTTCCCTGGAGAGAAGAGAACAAGATATCCCTGTCCCCTGGGAAAAGTCAGACCTGCCTTCCTAAAGCCATCCAGTGAGCATCCCACAGTGACTATGATTAGACTGCCACCCCCACCGCCTTGCTACCAGAGGGAGGCCCCACTTGGTCTTTTCTGAGTGCTGCTGCTGCTAGAAGGGACCCAGGTAGGT